GATTGGCTCGCGCTTGATTACACTCTATGAGAGCACACAATTTGTTATACAGCATCGTAAGCCGTTTTGGATCACTTGCACCGTCGCACCATGGACAGCAAGACAGTTCTGTGTGCCTCTGTCACTGGAACAGTAACTTTAAAAGATGACAAAGACTCTGAGGTTAGTTGCTTGTATTTTCTTCACTTCGCTACTTAAAGTCACAACTAAGCGAGGAAACGTCGATTAACCGCCGCACCCAAACTCTAACGGAGAAACTTATCGGTAAAACACGAATTGCATAAGTGACCTTTTATCAATTAGTCAGCACTATTCACGCCAACCGTAAAGCTTTTCAGGCTAAACGAAGCTACATTCAGCCTAAACGAGTTACTTTCCAGGGTATCCGCAACCCAGTGCTAAATAATGTTCTCTCTAGAAAACATCAGAGAGAGATTGCGGACCCTGTAATACCTCAAACAAGCTGTGAAAGCATTCGCCTGCGGCGCGTGTTTTTGAATGTCTCAAACTTTCACTCGATTTTAACTCGATTAAAACTCAACCCTATTTCCAGAGATTTTCCTTAACGAGCTTGGATAAAAAGGCAGGAAGTGTTGTTTAATCTCACCTCCTGCTGTTTACATTGATTTTAGACGTCATACACGAATATAGTGCTCGTGCGGTCGAGATTATATAACTGTGCCAAGTTCCCAGATGTAGTAAGAATTGTTTAGACGTATTTGCATCACGTGAAACGCCACTTCCCTTAGGACATTTTTTATTGAGTGATTTTTTAAGACACTTAACTTGTCTCGAAGAAAATTCAAAACTTGCATACCATTACGGTATCTCGTCCAAAAACGATGACAGCCTTAAACTTATGGCACATCACTCCGATTGCGGGAAAATCTAACACTAGTGTTCTTTTTTTTTTTTTAATCTATTTTCATTTTTTCGCTCTCCAAGAGTAGAGCTGTTTTCTGCTGCATTCAAGTAGCGTGTTTTAGTGAGCGAGCGAGCATCTCTCCTGATTGCCTTCATCTGGCTAACTCCTCACGTGCTTACGGACACCTCGTCCTTTCGCCAGGGCTGTGTTAAACACCCGCCCTTTCTTCCTCAAGCTGGGATTACAGCACTCGTCTAGAATACAGCCACCTCTCTTTGTTCACTTGACGTTACATTGGCCTTGTAGCTTTGTTAGCCTTGAAAGTTTTGTTCACCTGATACTGTACGTTTTCAAGAGTATGTCAGGCATAGGCGCTAGGCGTACGGACAATTTTTCCGGGGTGGGGGGGAGAATCACTTTCCCAAAAAATTTTCCCAAGTTTCCCAAATTTTTTATAAAACAATCGATACAAACATTTTTTAAAAGGTGATTGCATGTTGTCTTTTAGAAACCTTTAATTTTCAACGCACTGACAGTATCTCTTTGCAATTCGTGACATTTGGTAAAGAGCATAAGAGGGAAAATTTGCGTGTTTGCGCCTGTGAATTTCGACACGGCAGTATTGACAATAAAGCACGCTTCGGTAAAAACATGAATGAAATTTCTGCAATGTTTAAAGTTGTAAACAGTGGGCATTGAGAATGAAAAAAAAAA